TATTAACTTAAAAAGTAATAACACAAAATTTTATTTAGATCATTCAATAGTATAAAAGTAATAATAGGTTCCTACTTAATTTTTGGAAGTTTTCTGAAATGCAATTATTTAATTATTTATTTTTAAAAATATTATGTTATTTATAATGATTTTGAAATCGTTATCAATATTCGCAAATCAAATAATCAATAAAATATTAGACTATTGTTATTTTACATATGATTGATTATATGAATACATAGACATAGTTACATGATAACAAAATAAAAAAAATTAAAGCCTTGACCTGCTATTTAAAATCGATATTAACCTTCCAAAATATATTTTCATTATCAGACTTATCTAGTGATAAGATATTACTGGGAATCAGCAAAAATTTCTTAAACATGTTGAATATTAAATGGAATCAAATGTGGGCTTATGCTCCACTTGCTAAATGTCAACTAAATCACAACATTGATTTTTAGAAACTTCTTGCTATTTTTAAATATTTAAATAATTAATTAATGTTAGTATTTCAAATTTTGATGAACATCATTCTCTAAATTCAATTATTGATCAAATAAAAAATAATCTGTTACTTATAATATAATAGAACTATGAATATACTTTTTAAAAAAATTATAAAAACATTTTTTTTTATATAACTATCATATAACCTGTAAAAGCATATCTCTTCCAGGTTTTTAGTTTTACATTACTGAACAAAATTACGTAATTACTTCAAGTAATTTTTTGCAACTCGAATGTTCGAAGTCATGACAAATTTACTAGGCTTAAAACAAGATACTTTTATTTTACTACTCTGTTTCATTATGTTAGTTTAAGATTTTTATAGATAGCGATACTATAATAAATATAGTTCTTCAAGCAATAGCCTAGCTCAAGTTTCAAGCTAATTTTATTTTATTGAAAATATACTTCGAGTAAATTAGTTGATAAAATCTCACACGAACTTTACACGCGAATTAGTCTTTGTATGTTTAATGGTATTTCAGGAGAGATAAGAAATTACATCACAACGTGCTACACCACTCCGCCAATTACCAATTAAAAACTAAAAGTAAACATTTCTTAATCGTTATAATAAAACTATAAAAAATTGTTGTTACATTTGTTCACAAACTTTATATTTCAGAATATTGTAAAACATTATTACACTGGAGTTCGATTGTTATTCGCAATAGAAATTTACATAACAAATCACTGATCAGTAATCGTTTCACGCGTTTAAATGACAATGATTCTAAGAACATTTTATATCAAGGTTGAGGTAGCTTAGGAGTATAACTGTCATAAGAAATAGGAAGAAGATAAATGATTTTACTACTATCTACCTAACGTGACTTCCAGTTCCTAAAGTTGATTTTTTTTCTTTTATTCTAGTACACAAATGAGTATTTTGTTTTAATCTAAACCATGGTAGCTATAAACAAAGCACCTGTGATACGTATATTCAAAATTTTATCACGTACATCAAGGCGACTAACGTCACATTTGACAATTCCATAAAATGACAGCGATGTCCGTTTGTCCACACAGAACGCATGCATGTCGTACAACACTACAAAAATTCACAGTGTTAGTTATTCTCTTTTATAAAACTCTTTTTTGTTTTATGAGCGGCGGAAATAAGTTGACATTGAACTCTGTTATCAAAGATTTTGCGTCAAACGTTTAACAAGAGTTTTTGTATAAACGCCCACATTAGTCATGCATAATTGTTCGCGGTTTAAAACTTTTATTTAGGTTCATTGATTGTTTTAAAAATAATGAAATCACGAACATAAATCATTAAATATAATGATTCATATCTAAGAATAAATAATAACTCTATACTAATGAAATTTCTTGCAATACATTTCATATTATTTGATAATTATTCAATTACTTATTTTTAAATATATATTAATTCATGTATAATATAAAAAAAATTCATATGATCTGGAATACAAAAAATAGTTATAACTAATAAAAATTAAAGTATACTAAAAAAATAGTAATTGAGAAAAGAAGAGTGTATGCAATTGGACAACAAAACAATAAAATATGTTGATATTAACTATATTGGACTTACTGCTTTATTCAAAAAGTAATAAAACAACAAATATTCAATAATTCTTGTAATAAGGTATCAATAAGTTCTCATAAATTAAGTATGATTTGTCCCAACCTGAAGTAATTCCCTACGACAGTTTACTAGGATAACCTATAATAAGAGGTGTAATTTTTTTTTTTACACAGATATTGTAGATAAAAAATCCCCAAATCCACCACATTAATATAGTAGGCTGTATTATAATGTTAGCAATTGTGGTTAATCAGTGATTAAAATTGAAATGTCCCAGTATACTCAAAATAATGATTTTATTTGCAACAATAGTAATATAATGCAAATGTAATACAAGATAAAAAAAAAAACTAATGATGAATTTTTATAAATAAAAATACTTAGTTATTCTAAAATACTATAGGTATTAAAATTCACGGAAAGTACTAGAGCCTGGAAGTAATAAAATCAAGTCTAGGGGTGCTGAAGCACCCTTTAGCACCCCCAATAGTTGCACCACTGATCATAGAAGTCACTAGATTGACGGCACGTGGTAGGAAGATTTCTTATATCTCATTTGGATGTTGAAAGACTAATGCTAAATATGCTATACCTAAGTAAAATTGATAACACAACATTATTGGTTTACAAATGTATACTCGTAACTTGCAAATGACGCAACTGCCTATAAAATACTAATCGTTACGAAAAAGGTTTATTCTTTCATTGAGAAAGAAAATTAAAGGAACCTAAAAAAATAAAAGTATAAAATTATGTTTTTTTATATGTTTGTACAAACATTTGGTATACAACCCGTTTTGTAATCTATATTAATTTAAATTAGCTATGATTAATTTTAATTAGCAAGCAAAAAATATTATCAACTCGCGCTACCATAAGAAAAACAGAAAGAAGAATAAAATAGCACTCTTAATTATAAATTTGTCAATGATTGATCTTAGTATTTTTAACATAAGTAAATGGAAAATAACATTTTTAGTAAAAAATGTATTGTTGTAGAATAAAATATATTGAATACTAAATAAATGTACACAAAATGTATTTTTTTTTTATAAAATGTATTATATAATGTATAATGAACCACAGTTTTAACAATAAAAACAACATGGTTCATAGCGTCTATCATAATAAATACAATTGTGAAAGTTATAACCAATGTCAATGATATTGTAATTAATTAACAGAGTTATTTTAAAAATCAACTGCAGACAATAAAAAAAATATTCGTGAAGTTTAATTAAATCAATAGTATGGTAACATTCATCAAAAAAAGGAAAAATCCCATTGATAAAGTACTTATTTGTTTTAATATTTTATATAATCTAACAAAAATTATTAAAGTTAAAATTGACCTTCAACAGAAGTAAAAAAAGTCAAATAAACATAACGAGATTAATTTTTCTATTATATTTTTTTTTAAATTAAGCTAACAAAACTTAATTGGTACAAAATCGTGCCTAAAGCAGAAATTTGATAGAATCATAAAATAAATCAAGCTGCGTTTTTTGGTTTGGCCATCCTTAAAAAAGGTCAAGGGTTATTAAACATACAGAATATAATCATATTTTTTAAATATTGAATGATGAAAGCCTATGCTATAATTAAAAATAATATTCTACGAGAAATACAGTTTTTTCATGTACAAATGTTAAAATATTCCATTAGGGAAGATCATTTAAAAGTCAAATTAATAAAAACAAAATTAGTCTACCAGTTTACAAGTTTTATAAAGTTTTAAATAATATATAATATTATATAATAAAATAAGTTTTTTTTTATTTAGTGCTTATTTCAATCCTTTTATGAGGTTAGGGGTGAGAACAATCGCTAAAAAAATTAAGACTCGATCATTAAACTACCTATGGCTTCTTTTTGACTAGCTCAATTTATATTTGTCTAATTAGTGATTTTCCGATTTTACTTTTTTAAATACTTAATGAATTTATAAAAATTAAAGATAATTTTAAGTTTTTATAGTTTATACATAGTATTACATAACATAATTATCAAAATATTTTAAAGTAGACTATGAGTTATAAATATACACAAGTACATGCAGTTTACATGTAATTGATAGTATTAATTTTTGTAGATATTTTCTATCTGGAATCCATCTAAAAGAATGCATAATAATAAAAATTGATCATAAATACTGCAATACATTTTTAAGGATGTAAAATACTCATATATTTTTGCTAAAGCAATCCATAAAAGCTTTACATAAAGAATTTAAATTAGTGATGAAAATTATGACTATTAAGAGCTATATTTATTTTTAATTTTTTTAGAAAATCATAAGTCAAACATTGTGAATTAAAATATGATCAATAAACGAATTTATTCAAGATTACACACTTTTTTGATTAATGTTATCGTTCAGAGTGATAAATTTAGGATTTCGATTAATACTAAAGAATTATTACTAATTTAAATAACTTTATAACGAAGGAGAATTCATATCTAATTGGCGAAAATCTATCTCATACTAAAATATCGTTAATAATTGTTATTAAGATACTGTATTTCACTTAATAAAACGATATCTCATTTAAGGTAATATCAATAAAAAAATAATCCCTCTTAAACTTGTAAACTTTTAAGTATTGTTTTTGTAGAATTTTCTATAAGACTTTAATATTATTGGCTTATTAGTGCAATCTTAATTCGGTTTTACTGTGCGTCGCGAGTAACATAAAAAACAATACCATAACCGACAAAGGTCAGGTTTAGTATGGTATGAAGTACACATAATCAAATCATAAAAAATAATAATAATAACAATATGTAATAAATTATTATCGCCAATATTAATGGCGAAAGAAAATAAAGTCTGAGTAGCTTTAATATACCAGGTAAATGCAGTATATTAGTACCTATGCCTAATTTGAAACTGTTATCAGTAATTGGTAACATAAATAAGCCTACTTACCTCTTTTAAATTTGCTATAAATTGACACGGAATACGTAAGGTCCTCGAACGACAAATTGACTTCTGTTCTTTTGGGAAACAAATGAGTTTTATTTGTCACGTTATTGTTAGAAGCATCGTCTGTACGGTTTTTGATATCGGCCATGTCCAGATTTGAAATCAACTAACGAAGTATGTGATTGGATAATTTACACTATCGATGAATCCTTAGATTTTTCGTAATCATCCGGATAATAAAAAACCAATGTTAAAAAAACTTAAACATGTAAAGTTTAACGTCGAAAGTTCACATTTCACGATAAATAATTATTGATACATCTACTATTTTATCTAATAAAAATATTCTCATTTAAATAGTATTTTATAGTATATTACAGAGCTCATGAGCGTACATTGAGTAAAATTTGAACAATCAGAGTAATATAGTACACATTTACTAAATAAATGATAATATCTATAATTATTTAAAAAAAGTAATTTTTGCTCGAACGATTTCAGTCAATCGCCAATGCACTGCACGCGCACACTACGCCGCGTTCATTTCCGAGACGTACACACAAACCATACAACAGCTGCTATGAAATGCTCAGTGCCTGCGGACTGTTTTTATCGCTTTGCAGTGTGTATTTTTACTACCAGTCCCCGCCGAACACAATTCCCCATTAAATGGATGGGACGGGACGGTCGACGGTCCCGATATTGTTATCGTGTGTCGTCGTCTCGTTCAGCGCGCGTCTGCGCACTAATCCTGTAGGTGCGCAGGGACAGAAAACTTATCAACTCGGGCCGAACGTTAAAATCATGGACATATTAACAATTATATGTCTGTGGTTAAAATTACTAAACAATTCTTATAACAATAATCATCGAAATATAAATATGATAATAATATTTCGAATGAATTTGAAGTTAATCATGGCGCCTCTACTTATTCTAACAGTAGGCGCCATGCAGTTAAAAACGACATGGAAGAATAAAATGCACCTATGAATTTAATACCTACATTATATTTGTAAGTATGATAAAATTTAGAGAGCAGTAGATTATTCAGATATTTTTACTTAGTAATTTCAATATTGATTGAAAAATAAATTAATGATAAGTGTGGAATAAAATATATCTGAATAAGAGGAACGGTATATTCTATTTTCAAAAGGTAAACCATTTATTAACTACATATTATCTATGACCATAATATAATTATAACATAATTATTAATAAAATAATGTATTGTTGATATAGTGAATACTCCTAAATTTGATTTGATTAAAAATAAAAGCTTCATTTTAATTTTATTTGATGATAAACTACNCTAAATTTGATTTGATTAAAAATAAAAGCTTCATTTTAATTTTATTTGATGATAAACTACTATATATTTATTAGTTTGAGTAGGTAATGGAAAAATTGGTTCTGGGGAGGAAGTCACGCAAGGCCTTAAAATCAAAAATGCTAATACAGAATTTTCAACACGCAAATGTGTACCCCAAATGTACCCCTAACTATAAAATTTCATAATGTATTCTAAAAAATAGGTACTTCAAGAAAAATATATAATTAACAAAAAAAATGTATAGCTCTTACGATCTGTTACTGATTATTAATAAGCAATTAATAATACTTTTAGCAATCCTTTTAAAAACATTTTCTAATGTCGAATAGATCTTACAAAATTGTAATGTAGTACAATTTATACATATTGTTTTATGATGAAACATTTTTGTTTCATTAATTTATAAGTACTTTATATGCATCACTTTAAAGGTCACTATAATCATTAAGAGAAAAAATATCAAAATATATGAGACAATTATGTTCTTTAATTAGATGGACCAATAAACCATGTTTCGTTATTATAAACTAACCTTGTTCATTAACTACTTAGAACTCGAAATTTTTTTTTTAGTGTATTCATTTAAAAAAGTATACAGAGTAATCCGTCTGTCATAATACATTCAATTTCTTACAATATAATAATAATTTCGAGAATACTTTTTTTTGCTTTTTTAGTTATAACTATATATGTTAATAAATAGTTGGTATATGTTAGTAACAAAGAGAAGTATATTATACTTCTTTATAACCAATTATTAATTACTGGTTCAAAAGTTGTTATTATTTTTTTCTAATAGAAAAAATTGTATTTTCACCTTATAAAGATTTTTATGATCCATGATGAGATGTTTGAGTTATTAATTTTTGTTTTAATAGATCGAAGAAAGTGCATGTGTTGTAATACATAATGAAAAAAATTGCAGTAATCACACATTAATGTACTTAATATTATAAAATAATGGGTTATGATTTTATCATACATTAAAATGTTATAGTTGTTGTTATTTTTAAAATCATTATATTGCATTAGATGTAGTGTTGTTACCTTTATATTATAAGATTAGTATCTATATGGAAAAGTTGTAAATGAAAGAGTTACGGAATTTATTTATATATAGTAAACGTGTAACGGAATAATATTTTTTTATGGTTTGTGGTGAGTTTTGTTACTTTTACATTTTAATTGTTATGTTGTACAACAAAATGTAACAAATGTACAACATAATTATCTGATAAAGCATCATGAATTATAATTAGTTATGGGCCATAGTAATCACAACCATGACAATTTTCTTCATTAACTGTTTAGATTTAAAACACAACTGTAAATTTTACAGTGGTAAGTATTGTTTTAAAGGATTGCAGATTGTACTATTACCTAAGATTGTTACAGTATACGGTTATTTTTAAATATACATAGTGTCTCATATCTAATTGATAATGCTTATAACTTTTGTTATTATTATCATTTTGTTAAACAATTTTTAAAAATGATTTTTACTTTCATAGACTACGATCAAAGCATATTTTGTATTATTTGTCTCAAATAAAAATTTCACTTTTACTTTTTCAGTTTCAAAACAGCTGTTTCTTATCCCTGTGTGGTTGGTTAAAGCCAACCACATGTAGTAAAGGTGTATGTATATTTTACCTGCGTTCCATTCCAACTCTGTGTATTAAAATACATGTAAATTAAATAGTATTTGTCCTAAAACTGTTATGGATCTATCAACATTTTTTGAAAATAAGAAACTAAATAATGCTTATTACTAAATGTTGAAAAAAATAAAATACATTTTCTCTTATTGATGTGATAAATAATAAAAGAACATGCATTAAACTTAGTCTAAGAAAGCAATAAAAAAAAGGTTTCAATAAACTGATAATTGTCTTAGAAATTATAAGTCAGTTAGATATGAGACATTCTGTATATTTAGTTAAATTAAAAAAAAAAAATGTTTATATAAAATAAAAATCAATTAAATTCTTAGAATTTCATAATGGAGGTAAAATTAACTTATTCTTGTCGTATTTAAAATTTTATTAATGAAAACAATTTTATAAGAACTGCGTCAACACATTATTCACTGAACAACAATATTTTATACAGAGTGATACTTTAAAAGTCATTCTCATTTTCATACCTAGACGGGAAAAAGAGTACAACTAGGAAATTAATAGTGATAAAAATAGCAACACCGCTTCTCACTTCCAGTCATAATTTTATTTGTCAATAACTTCTATAATACTGGTCAAAAAATTGTTATCGACTCATCATTTTCTTTATTAGATCATTTTCTATTTTATATACTAGTTTAATATGTATGTTGCCATTAAAAATAAAGTTCACACCCTTATGAGATATAAGAGATGAACATAAAAATTATTTTTAAACAGATAAATAGAAATACATTTTTAACTAACAAAAGTAATGAAAAAAAATTTCAAAAAGCTTATTATTTTAAGAGAAATTGAGTGACTAACTTTAAAAGAATCATTCTGTGTACGTTTATGATTTTATATGTTGAGTTTGTTTGTTCGAATGATTTAAAACTATGACTGAATATCTCTTATTTTAAATAAGTATTATTGAGGGTATCTTTAAGATAAATAAAGTTTTTGGAGTTCTTTTAAGAATGTATAAAAATTTATGAGTCATTACACGTCTAAAGGTATAGTGATACCGAAAAAAACTTAATGACATTTATATTTCGCATTGTAAACTAACAAAAAAATATTTGATAAAGAATTATCTGATGCATAAATGGAAACTTAAATTACTATTATCAATATTTTATGTTGTCTGTCAAATATCTAAAAATATTTGTTCAATTAAGCCTTTTTTAATAAAAAAAATATTAAACCCTTTTTATGAAGGGAACATTCAACATAATTATAGGTATAAAATTATGGATGTTTATAAAAAAATCCGTTATTGAGACTTCAGTATTTATTCGTGTTTACTTATAGATAGTACAAATTGATGGAGAATATAATGACATGTAAGTACTGTTATACAGATCTCATATAATAATATAACCATAATAGTACTTTTATATGTACTTTAAATTTAGTTAATTTTTACAATCGCATTTATTCAGCTTTAATTGAATAAAGTACTAATGGTTGAAAATATGTAGTTAAATTCACATATTACAAAATACTCAGTTTTTTTTTTAATATTGAATGTACAAAGAGTGACTAATTAAATGAATGGGGTGGACGTTTTCTTTACACGTGTCTATAGTCTGAACAGTTAAATAAATAAAAGTAATACTCTACGGTTCTCACGATTTTATCTGTTAAACAATACCTGATAATACTTCCTTCGATAAAATTAATGCATTAGTAAAAATAACATGTCAATATAACTGTTATACTAAAGCATCAAAATTTCACACGTGTGTATTAAAGTGACTTATGTTTTTAAAAGATAATAGATAATATGTCATGATAAAATAAACTGGATATTAGTTTTGATCGCTTATTCTAGGAATATTTTATAGTGAATACATCATAAAGCATTTCATATTATAAATTAGTTTTGGAAGTTATTATTTATAATATAATATTCCTATTCTGTCAACATTAATTTAGTCTAGCGTAAGTGTCGAAACCACTTTATCTGTTATCAGAATATAATATTATTACTAATATGTTAATCTAAAGTCACGTATATTATTGTTAAATACACTCGTGTTACATGTTCATTTTTTCAAGGTTTGTAATTATAATACAATATTAAAAAAAAAAAATTGAGCAAAATCTTCATTTTTATATTAAATACTTGGTTTTTCATAACTTAATTGTTTGTTTTATATTCCAACTTTATGTCTATGTCTTATTAACATAAAAACCAACACATACTATTACCGATAAATATACAAATTTATTTTAAGTTAAAAATAATGAAATGACTAAAATTAAAATCATATTAGTCATATATTATATGAAAAGATTAATGTAAAATAAAATATTTGTGGCCTCCTATTATCAAAAAATGAATATAACAAGTTATTTTATTTTATAAATAAACTTTTTGTTTTAATTACAATGGCATGGACAAAATAAATTTTTCTAATATATATTTTTAAGTGTATCATGAGCCAAAGTAGAATTTGTATCTACCTCGTTATCAGTGTATCAAAAATTAATAAATGAAAATTTCTGAGTACCTAATTAAATTTAATTGTTGAAAATAGACCATTCATTAACTCTTAAAGCTTGCCACCCTTTTTATGCCTATTGATATATTAAAGCGTGAATACACATTTAAACTACAAATAATGTTATTTATTTACTAATAATTTTTTTTGTGCTATTTTCATTATTAATAGAAAATAAAAATTTTATTAATTGAATACGAGTGTTTTTCTTGTTAGTTTTAATTCAAACAAATTATAATAATTATAATTTAAAATTGAGGTCAAAATTTTCACTTTTGGTTAACTTACGTAATTCAAATTTTTCTAATATTATTAATACACTAAAATATGCTATCTAAGTTATCTTTCATTAATTCTCCAAGAAAAAAATACTATAAATAGTATTATAAAGGAATCTTAAACGTGATAAATTTACAAACAATGAAAAAACTCTTTAAATTAAATAATAATCATAATAAACATATTTCTGTACTGACGAATATATTACTAAATTTGTGCTTTATGCTATTCATGCTTTCAGATTCTAAAAAAAGGAAACGTTATATTTTCACATTTCCTAATAATTATTAAAATTTAATATAGTTTCTAGTCTATGTATATAAAAACATAAATTTAAATATAGCAAAAAAGGAAATGCAATAATTTTTTTAGACAAATAAAAAATTATGTAAAAATATAAATAACTAGAATAAGATAGATGTATTTTTTAAAAATCCTAAGAACATTAAATATTGGTTCGTACAATTTATTTCTTACTAAAATTTTAAGTATAAAATAAATCTCATAGAAAAAAAAAAGTATTTGTGTAAGCATATCCTTTATATAAATGTGGATTATTAAAAAAAAATGTTTTCACAAAGCACAATTACTTATGGTAAACCAATGATTAGACAGGTTGAAAACTTTAGAGACCTTTAAAACTCCAAGACCTTCAATATAACGTTACATTTCAAAGATTTTATATCCGTTAACGGCATGAATACCAATAAAATAATCACGTTAGTTGAATTATAACATTTTGCGAACCCTAAACATTTAATACAAGATAAAGATTAGACATTTGGAGTATTAAGTAACACTTGCCTCCTAAAATACATTTCTTGTAGACTTGAATATGATTATTATGATTATCAATTAATCATTAATTATGATTTTATTCCAGATAAAATTTAAAGTAGTATTTACTGGACCAAAATCTAGCAGAATAACATTTGTATCATAATATTTCCTTTTAAAAAAATGGTAAAATGAAGACACAACTTGTACTTTTTTTTAAAAAAAGTCGTTAGTTAATTTCAGCTATAGAAAAGTTAAGTTTATTATTATAACGTATTGCTGGTCTAGTTTTCAACATAGGTGACGCGTGATGTGTATATATATAGATATATTCATTAGTAAAGCATAGAATTCTTTAGGTAGGCTGTATGGCAAGGTAATGTTAACATTCTCGGCCTTTTGTATTTTCAGTTAGCTGAAACGACGTATGACGTTTTTATTATTTCATTTTTTATAGGTGTGGTCGACTATCTATTTAAGCGCAAACATTAATTATGGACCTTAATAAAATATTTCATTGATTGTTAAATTGAACTATTTTAAAAAATATATTAGCCTATTTATTTATAAATTTTTTTATATTATACGAATGTTGGTTCCTGTGTTCTCCTTATACAAATTTTATTGATATAATATTATTTTTATATATATATAAATAATGTGTTGAAACGACCTCTATTACTTATATTACAAAATAGAAAAAACAAGTGAAATTTACATGAAACGTTGTTAAAATATTATATCTTTATAAATATTTGTGATCATACCAGTTTAATATTTTCGGACATTACTAAATTATGTATAACGCCATAACAATAGATAGAAATTTTTATGGGAAAAAAAAATATTCAATGTCTACCTAACCTTGAAATTTATTGATTGTACAGATAAATGTACATAACAACGCACCATTGGTGTAGACTTACTTAATCAGACTTCGTCTGCCTCTTTGAATGTTGATCTTTGGGGATATGTTTTTAGCTTTTGATGCGAAGCTGAAAAAGTATTGATATTACCATGATGTGTTTTTTTTTTGTCCATTATGAAAATTCTCAACTATTACTGGATCGATTTTATTAATCAATGTGTCAAAAAAAAACCTAAATTCGGTCGAGTTAATAGTTATTAATTATTAGTTTTAGTAGTTAATTTGATTTATATCAGTGCCAACAATTTAAGTTAAAAACTTCAATTTAAAAATTTTATTTTATTTTTTAGCTTTGATGCGAAGCTGAAAAGGTATTAATTTTACCATGATGTGTTTTTTTTTTTTTTATGTCTGTTGCCACTTTTTCTCAGCTCTCACTGGACCGATTTCTTTCAACAATACGTCAAAAGATCACAAATCGTATCTAGTCGAAGACATTACCCTTAAAAATTAAAAAATTTCCCTCGTTTCCAGTAAATGGGGGAAACCTCCAAAAAAATTACAAATTTAAAAATTGGTAAATTTTGTCATTTTTTTCACTTTTTTTCTTAAAACTTCCATAACTTTTTCAAAAATTAACAAATCAACATAATTTTTTTTTATACTAAAACCTAAGATATTTCACTTTCATTTGAAATCATTTTTTTGAAAATTTAACACTTAACCTGCTCATTGGGGGGGGATTTAAAATAGAAACTTTTTTACAAAAACTAACTTTTTCAACTCAATTTTTGAAAATGTTCCGGAAATACTGCGTCCTTTTAACATATATCAAATTAAAGCTTATTTTATGTACTATAAAATGAAAAAAAAAATTTGTCTCGACACTTTATCTTCTGCATATAAACGGCTACCGTAGTTAAAAAAACGCTATTTTATGTTAAAATTTTCGATTTTCGATTTTAAATTTTCAGCTTAAAAATTCTGTAACTTTTCGAAAAATGTATGTATTAGTACAATTTTTTTTTCTAAATACATTATAAGTACATCTTTCATTTGACATACTTTTTATTAAAATTGGACAATTTCCCCTTATATAGGGGGCGTACAAAACTTGAAACATTGTATAAAACATAGAACTTTTTCAACTGAACTTTTGAAGATGTTCCGGAAACACTGCGTCCTTTAAACGTATATAAAATTAAAGCTTATTTGATGTACCATAATATGAAAAAAAAAATTTGTCCCGACACCTTCTATGCGCAAATGGCTACCGTATTCAAAAATATGCTATTTTTGTGTTAAAATCCTGGGTTTTGTATTTTATTTTATTTTAAAATATCTTATAAGGGCAATACACTGACTTTCATGAATATTTTATAATTTAATTGACATAGAATAAAGTTCATAAAATATAAGAAATTAAACTTATTAAAATTTTTTATTTTTTTAAAGTCAAAAAAGGAATTTTTAAATTTAAGTTAGCTCTATAGCCAATTTTATCATGCGTCATAAGTAGAGGTCGGAATTATATTCTTTAACATATTTTTTTTGAGCGTATGTAGACATGCGGGGGTTCGAAATCTTTACAAATCGGGAAACAAAGATATCAATAGCAAAAGTTTTTTTTGCATATTTGAGAATATTTTAAGTTAAAAGAATATTTTGCTTAAAAAAGAATATTTGAGAATATTTCGATTAATTTTATGGAATTTGGATTTTTTTTGTTGCTTTGACCAAAATTATACATAATATTATACTAAATAAATTTAGTCTGTTATTTTTTAGAAAACTATGTGTAGATTTATGATTAAAATGCTTTACAAGTCATGTAAAGTAGAAATGAATTAGAAAAACATTATAAAAATAACTCTAAATATTCGTTTATCATTATAAATGATAATCATTATTATCGTGTTCCTAGAAGAGGTAGGTACAAAGATTATTGTACAACATAAATGATGTAAGTGTGTGGTTGAATTAGTTGACATTCAATCTGTCTATCGTTCTTTGTCGCTCGTCGTGTATACGTAGTATTATCATACCGAGTGTAGTTTCATTTCTTTTAGTTGTTTGTTTTTAATTACTTATTTTCCAAAATGCCGAAAACCCCACCAAGCAAATTAAAAAATTTAATTGCTCAGTGGATACTACCACTAAATAAAGATAATGTAAACTTTAAAATTGATGGGACGACTCTTTTTTGTCAACTGTGTGACAAACACATACCATGCATTAAAAAGTCTCAAATAATCCAACATGTGAACACATCATCACACCAAGAAGCTTTAAAGCGTAAGTCTAATAATCCAAAACAATTGTTTTTACCAGAATCTACATCTAAAAAAAATGTAAATGAATTGTATGAAGACCTATGTTTGAGTTTAATTGTTGCTAATATACCGTGGTATAAGCTACAAAATCCACAATTTCGAGCTTTTTTAGAAAAATATACTGGCAAACATATACCTGATGAAAGTTTATTACGAAAAAATTATCTTTCCCTTTGTTATGATAAAACTTTAACTAAAATAAAAAATGATATTGGTGAAAATAACATTTGGATCGCGGTTGATGAGACAACAGATATAAACGGTCGTTATGT